TCATCTGGAAAGAAAAAAGATATCAATTATATTGATTTAAAATTTCAAATTAATTGACTTGCTTATTTAATAAGTTTTAAAATTCAAACCATTATCTCAAATTGATTTATTTTACGTATGATATACTGAGAGATAAATTATGAATAATATTGACTTTAATTTTCAATCTCAAATATTTTGGTGATTTAATGGGATTAGATTAGATTTTATAGGTTAATAACCAAATTATTGATATGCTTATTTAATGAGTTTTTACAAAAAAAAAAGTTAAACGGGTTTGAATTTTGAAGTCAAAAGCTATATATAAGGGAGTTAAATTGAAAAACAATATTAATTAGGGTTAATGATGACATAGATCGTCAAAAGATGTCTTGAAGGAGATGCATGCTTGAGTTTGTAGAGATTTGTGTGAAGCCAAAACAGTGGTGTGATAATTGGAGATGTAAGGAAGATGCAATACACAAATTCTAAGAATACATGAGCAAAAAGGAACCACCTTGTGGTTCTACGTTCTGTTATGAACAAACAAAGCATCAATTGAAGCACAATCATTGACATGAGGACGAAGAGGATTAGGGAATTAGGGTTTAAGAGAGAAAAATAGAGGAGAAAGATGGGGCGGTTATTAATGTTTTTGACCATATTTATGGAGAAACTGATATCCCTAATATAAATAAAAAATGTTATGTTTCAATTGATAACATAATTGTTGAATTTAAAGATTCTATAATTAAATGTAACTGTGTTCGAATTGTGAAATATATTTTAGAAAGTAGGGATAGATTTTATAATTAAAGATTCCATAATTAAATGTAATTGTGTTCGAAATGTAAATTTAGAGATTCTATAATTAAAAGTTTGAATTCTATTTGGGGAAGATGATGTCAGCAATTTGATCTAAAGGTGGAAAACATAAGATTGAAATACAATCAACGGTTCTGATTGCTTCATTGGTGAATTAAAGGTTCTCTTTTAATAATATTTAGAGATATGATATGTAATTATATTTGGAATCGAAAATTTAAAGGATAGTTGTTTGGAATTAATGAGATACCTAATCTTCTATAACAATGTATTTTATGTTTTTCAGTTTTTATAGCAAAATATTTTTTTTATCTGATTTTTTACCATTATGATTAACCAATATTAATCATTAACCATAACCATTAACCGAGAAAAACCGTAAATAAGAATCAGTATTAACTAATATTCAATGGCTACAAAAATACAACCACTTATAATAGTTATGGTTTTGTTTTAACTAAAAATGGAACCAAACTCTCCCATACATACCCTTAATTTTTTTTATTTGTGTTTCATAGTTAGGTGGGCCCAAAAATCAAAAGTTGTTTTAATATGGTAAATACTTTTGAAAGTAACTAAGATTCGTAAAAAAATTTGCAAAATACTATACTTTCGTACAACACTCCTTATTCTTGAGGGCTATTTAATGCAGCTATGGTAAATCCCAGATAATTTGCTTCGATTTCTAGTACTCTCTCTGTATCCTGCTGCTGTTTTTCTTTTATTGAATTTCATTTTGCCGTTCAAAATCAATAATGTAAAATTTATTTTTGCAAATGAGCAATTAATTACCATTAGTGTAATTTATAACTTTGGTTACGAGAATAAGTCTTAAATGAAAGCTTATATTCCGAAATAGCAATAAGTTACTATTAAATTACGATAAATTCATATTAATTGGAAATCTCCATTGATATACCTATAAATTCCATGCAATTCAGTTTTTGAAGTTCATAAGAGAAACTCATCTCAAAACAAAATCGGCAGAAAAGAAGATGAAAGCTTTCTCCATAATCATGTTTTTCATCATATTGATGCTCACTACAGGTTATTCTCTCCCTCTTTCTCTCATTCTATTTTGAGGTTTATCATGTTCCACATATAAATGATTTCATTCATAAACTTATGAAGAATGCAGAATAATTTAGATTTGTTTAATATTGTGTTATTGCAGCCTCTGCAGCTGAGTTTGCAATTGATGATAGTAGTAACGAAACTCCAATTTCAGTTTCCAACAAACAATGTATAATGTATTTTGATTGTGAAGACTTCCCTTGTCCACCTCACACGGTTCCACTTTGTGTTGATACATATTGTCGATGTATTAATCATCCGTAGAAGAATCTGAATCTCAACAAATTGTTGCTTTGTCTAAAATGATGTTAAAACCGTTTGAAGTATGTTTTAGAATATGAAAAACCATGACTATTTATGTTCCCTTTCAATTGTTTAGTAAAATGGTAACCGGACTTCCTTTTCTAAACATCTATATATATATATATATATATTATATATATATATATATATATATATATATATATATATATATACACACACACGAGTAGAATCACGTTTTTACTTTTACCCTAATAAGAGTACTTAAAAAACATGTAAATGTTTAATGAAAAAAAATGTAAGACTTTTGAGTAATTGCATTGTGGTAATTAAGAAAAAATGTATTAATCATATGTGATATGACCTGTAGTTAAAAAAATTAATACATGTAAACTTGTCTCAAAATGCACAAAAATCATTTACGACTCAAACATTGTATTAATCTTTTTCAAATTCAATAGCCCACAAATAAAATACAGTGTTATGTCACTTTTAGTACTCTTTATCTTTAGTAATATACTTTCTTAATTTTGCTCAATGTCCAAAAGCTCAAACCTAGTAATTTATCTAGCCAAGAAATTAGAGCTGTGAATGTATTTGTCAACGTCATATCACTATCTGGTGAGCAACTTACCAAATAAACATATTTTGTAACCATATATGTAACAACTTTTCAATGTCTCTTTTTGTTAATGATTTACTAGGTCCATGTGGCTCCAAGTAGACCTGGCAATGGAGCGGGTTTTGACCCTGATCCGCTCCAAACCCATCCAAAATTAATGGGTTTGGATCATATTTTATGATTATTTTACCAGTTAACGATCCATACCCGTTTACCCTTTTATTAAAAGGGTCGGGTATAGATCACTATCGATCCGATCCGTTTATGACCCGCCCCATCTAAAATTTTGTAACATAAATTAATTATTTATAAGTAATAATACATTTATCAATATTCACATATAGGAGTCAAGGAGTTAGACTGATATACATTCTACTTCAACTTCCCAGTTTAATTCCTAATCCAAATTGTCGATTGCAGTCGATTCCTAATAGAATCGACTCTATAATCTTTTGAAATCGACTATGAAATCGATATTCCACAATCAAGACTCAATAGCAAAAAGAAAAGGGTTTCAGTCAAGATTCAAGAAGAAGAAGTGCAATCGAGTGATCGAAAATCAACAATCATAATACATTGCAAACGTTATTTATATAGCTATAATTGATGTTTGTTTTGGAGTGAATGTTGGTTGGTTTTAGTGATCATGTTATATGTGTTTTAATGAATAATTATAGCCTAAACTTAATATTTTTAAATGGGTCGGGTAAAAGGGTTGAAATCCGTTGATCCGGTGGATAAGGCTATGGGTTTAATCATTCAAAACCCCTGCGGGTTACGGGTCGGGTTTGGATCATCATTTGAAAATTGCTTAACGGGTTTGGATCAAGGCCGATCCGCTCCAAACCCGCTCCCTTGTCAGGCCTAGCTCCAAGTGGTTTAGTGGGTATTGTTGGTGATTTTATATCACTAATAGTATTTAAGTGTAATGGGGTTAATTTGTTGATCAATGTCACTTTGACAATTATCGAACAAATTAGTATGGTGCGGAGTGCACATTTGTTTGATTTTATCATTGTTGAAAGTATACTGCTATTTAGGGACGAAGCCCCTGACAAGGGTCCGGGGGCAGCGCCCCCTGGAACAGGGTCCAAGGGGCAGCAGACCCTGGCGGGTTCCAAGGGGCAAAGTATAGACCCGATTTTATGTTAGTTTTTGACAGGTAATATGACCGTTTTTGGACAGGAAGTTGTTTTCCTGTAACTACCATATGACAGTTTTAAGACAGGAAGTTAGTTTATGTTATATGATCAATTTCGGATTCATTTTGGGTACATATTTTCATAACATCTTCTTCATTCTCCATTCTAGAAAAACTGTGAGTTTCATCCGATTAGAGATTTTGAGTGTATCCTCGAAATGCTTTAATCTGAAAGTGTTTCACAACTCTCACTAATCCAAGTTTATCTATATCCCGTTTTTTTAAGAGGTATTATGTGGAGCCAAGATTTCATGTGAACGAAGTCGGTTTGGATGGGATTACTTTTGTTATTTAAAAAATTGAATATTTCGTGGATAACTTTAAACCCATCTAGTTTAAAAGAAAACGAGTTAGAAGATAATTTGAATATGTAATAGAATATTCTAAAACGAGAGAATGGCCGCGCTTGTAAGTAAGTTAAAAAATGATAATATAACTTATTTTATATTAGTCTAACTAGTTTATAACCCGTGGGAACCACGGTTAAAAAATTAATTAAACTTTTTATAATGGAAATTTATAATTATTAATCAATTATTTTAAACAAGTCATTTTAAATAAACTATTAATTAAGAGATATATCAAATTTTTAAAGTTATTATAACTTCAAATTTAACATATAATTAGAAAATGTAAATTTGAATTTTGAAATGAGTTATCTAATATATCTACATCTACATGACATAATATTAATGAGAAGTTGTATTAGAGTGACACTTGACTAAAGGAGATTAAAACTATTTATTTATTAGAATAGAGATTTATATAGAAACATGTTAAGAGATTCGAAATGTAATATAATAACGAAACGTCGATATTTCATTATTCAGGTTTATTTATTTATTTATTTTTTGTTTTTTGGAACCGGCAATTTTTATTAAAGGTCACCCCGTAACAAGGAGCTAAAGGATGCCGAAAGTTACAAAACATAAATCAACGATTATAGAAAGTAGAAAGGAGATTTAAGCCATTCCTCATACAAAGTTTCCTTTTTCATACCTATGCTTAATCCAAACATGGACCATTGATCTAACTCCTTCAAACACCAATTCCGGGGAGGTGAATTTTGTTGTTAATGATTCTATCATTCCTTTCTTTCCATATACCCCATATTGCACCAGAAATGATTGAGAGTAATGTTGTCGTGCGTTTTGGGCATTGCCCTATCATGGTTGTGTAGGTTAACATCTCCTTTAGACAAGAGAATTTATTGGGTGTGATACCGCACCAATCCCAAATCTGGTTCCAGATTTCGACAGCAAAAGGACATTTAAGTAACATGTGATCCGTTGATTCCATTCCGGATACACAAGCACTACATTGTGGAGAATGGATCTGTACCCCCCTTTGAGAAAGAGCAATCACAATTGGAATGCAGTTCATTTTTGCTCGCATATATAAAACAACTTACTTTGGTTGGAATTCATTTGCTCCATTGAGATATTTCGTCCGGAATCATATGGGCTGCTCGATCAATCCTCTCCCTTAAAGTTGCAACGCAAAACTGACCATCAATTTTAAAGTCTGATTCCCATCATGTTCCCGCTTGGTCTCTCCGGATAACATCAGAGCCTGCAATATTCAAATTCCCCAGTGCAATTTTACATTTATCAATATTTTTCCACACACCACTTAAATATCTAGATGACATAAAAGATGGAAACTCATCAAGTTTATGGAATCCGTTTATAATTCTCGCCCATAATGCATTCCTCTCATGGAAGAATTTCCATCTCCATTTTGATAGTAGTGTTAGGTTTAGTGCTTTAATGGATACAAGACCTAGTCCACCCACCTCTTTTGGAGCGAGTATTTTTTCCCATGCCACCAATTGGATTTTTGGTACGTTATTCGACCCTCCCCATATGAAATTCCACCTTATTCTCTCCAAGTTTTCAATCACTCCCTAGGGGGCTGCAAAGATTGATAAGTAATAACTGGGAAGACTCCCCAAAACTGACTTTGCTAGTGTCACCCTCCCACCGAAACTCAATGTCATCGATTTCCATCCGGAGGGTTTGTTGTTGATTTTTTCAATCACTGGCTTCCAAGAGTTTTTGCGGTTCATGTTTGCTCCCATAGGTACACCAAGATACGTGAATGGTAATGAACATGACTCACATCCCAGCGGTGAGGACCATCTATCAACCTCATGTGGATTCACATTAATGCATATTCTTTAAAAAAATCATAAAACATATGATATTAGTTTTTATTTATTTACATATCCTTCTTAAAAAGATCATAAAACATATGATATTAGTTTTTTGTACACATGTTTTTAGTAGGAGGCTTTGCCCTTTTGCTTATTGGATCAAATGCAAGCTTTACGTAAGGTCAATAGTCGAATGGACATGCCAGTTGCAATGGGTGCATATATTTACACATTTATCTTTGTAAGTTTTGTTTTAGCCGGGCTCAGCCCGGATATTCATTTCAAGGACTTGTGCAAAATTTAAAATTGAAGCCTAATAAAAAAATATTATAAAATATTATTAAGTCAATTATTTATTCTTACATTCAAACTTAAAGTAGATAAAAAGCATCTGGTAAACTTCTTACCTAGGCACCATATATGTGTTTGCACTCATTAATAATAAATTGAGAGTGTTACAAGAAACTTTTCAAAATAGGATAAACAACAACACATTATTATTTTCTAAACATGGACCTTTTAAAATTTATAGAAGAAAAAACTTTCGTAATCAATATTTTCAATTAAAATCAAACCCGAATAGTTTAATCTTCTTCTTGAAGCGTGATAGATCACAAATAAGATTTTAAAAGTTTTGTTTTTGAAAAGCTCATTCTTTTGATGTAACTGTAATGAGAACAGTCAATAATATTTTGTATACTAGATAAGAAACAAGATAAATGTTTATCCCTTATGAGAAATTTAGTATTGTGTTGGGTGAGTTATGTTCAATTGGTATTTTTCATAACAATTCCAACTTGTTGATTAATCATCACCATCAATGTCTAAAATATGGCCATTTTGTAACCCCTTTTCATTTTTATTTTATTTTTTTGCATCTTGCCTTTAGTTCATTAGTATACAACGATTTCATGTTTTCTGCTATGAATGATTGTTGAGATTAATGTTCATGTACTAGTTCAAATGACTCTACTTCACTCTCTTTAAAATGTATTTTCTTAAAAATTGTATTTTGTTATTATTTTTTAAGAATAACCGGATCAATTCCTAAATTAATAGTTATAGTTCTAGCACAATTCAAAGCTTCTCTAAACCATGTTTTCAATTATCTTTAAAAAGTAGTTAAGTACTCACACACTACTCATTGCCTCATTAATATGTATGGTTTTATATTTTAGTTGTATGCTCAAGTTATTTACTTTAACATATATGATACCATATAATCATATTAATGATAAAAGCCAAATAGGTCATGTTCATACCATGATATACAAATAGTTTCGATGGTTATTAGGTTTTGAACTTTAGTTTATAGATTCGTTTTCTTTACGTGGGTTTTGTAAAAATTAAAACTTTGCTTGATATTACTATTATTATCAATAATAGAATTTGTATTTTTCATGGATGTTATTTTAAAACTCCTTAAATTGTTCATAACCCCTAAACAAATTTAGAATTTATAATAAAATTTTAATTTTTGTTACATTGTATATGATTACTTGTCATAGCTATTTTTTTTCTTAATAATAATATATCTAAAAAAAATATGAATAAACATATACCATAACTAAAGATATGCCCTTGAATTTAGAAGCTCTTTACAATTGGAGGTCATATACGACCGCACCACACATACACCCCCAAGGACGCCAGTGTTTAGCATGATCAAAATAATATGACTAAAAAATTGTATATTATATGAACATATAAACTTTAGTTACAATTTTAGTATGAAACTAATTATGACCTGATCATCACAATGCATATTATCTAACAATAATAATATTTCCATCACAAAACTCGAACAATTTTCATCACCAAACTCGAAAAGAAAAACATAATCTCATATTCAATACGATAATATAACCAACATCAACAACATATTTAATAATATATATGAAGTACTACGGTGAAAATAATATCATACATACTTAGAAAGCTAGCATTTTTCCTTGAATCTCATGCACTTGAAACCCTCATAAAAATTTGCCAACACCTCATGTATTTGAAACCCCCACACCCTTTCATCTTCAAAGTAATGAATCTCATTCATTTGAAACTTCCAAGACTATTCAACTTATAGGATTTAATTTGACTTTTGAAATTTCCTTCACACAAATGTAGTTAGCCTATAAATACTTACTTCTAATTAGTGATCCTTTGTTCTTTGTTTTGGTGTAAATGAAAGTCTTATGTTGTCAATATAATATTGAAGTTCAATAATCTATAATAAGCAAGGTATGCATTTTGTGTTTTTAATCAAAACAATTGCTTTTTTTCTTGGTTTGTTCACATATTATGTTTTTAATCGTGAATAAAAGTAGCTCTTAGGTTTGAGAACTTTCTAACATCTATTTTAAAAATTGTCACATGCAGTATTTTATTAAGCATACATGTACGGGCAACTATTTTTTGAAAGGCAAGGCTCTACACCATCCATTTCTTATAAGTTTATATTATTGGGGTAAAATTGAATTGGTGAATGGAGCAATCAAGGGTGAGGATTTAACTTCAAGTTTTATGATTCTAACTCTGCTTGAAATGTGATATGGATAATTTTTTGAACTTATTTATAAACACTCTGAGATTTAATGAATATTTAAGTTGACGATTACCTTACATTTTGAACAATATGCAAGTTTTTGTGTTGAAGTTCATATTGAGATGTAGAAATTCACTTTAATGAGCTGATGAGTTTATCGCTTTACGAGGAAATTTGTAGTTTTTAATGAGATGATGCATTGATGTTTTTAAAGATGATGCCAGAAACTTTACCATTTACCGTTGTTAAGTGTTGTAGGTTTGTTGTACAAGTTGTATCTCTTGGTTTTTAATTATATTGTTGTTATCCATTCACATGTTTCATATTCTTGAAAATGATCGATGCAATGATTTTCTTAAATCAACATTAACAGAGTAAGGAGTCAAACACATTAATTGCAATAAAATAATAATTGGACTTTTATGAAGAAATACATAGCTCGAACAAGCTACCTCCACAACTTAAACCTACAAAAAATTCTTAATATTTAATAATAGAAATGATAATAAATGTTGGAACTATAAAACAAACACCTAATAAGATATATCAATGCCAAGATTGTTAAAATGTGTATTTTTTTAGTTATTCACTAATCTTGGTTTTTATTTTATAATAAATGTCATATTAATGCAAAATATTCATTTAAAAGTTACACAAACTCTTGATCTTTCAAGTAATTAACCAAACATACTCGGTTTTTTTTAACTTAATTAAATCATTCACTTTAACCTCCTTAATTTGATTTATTTAATACATTAAAATCAATTATTAATCTAAGTTCAAACCAACTCTTCATTTTTCAACCAAATATATACATATAACTTATTGGTTAAAAATAAAAATGGTTTTAAATCACAACCATAAATCAAAATATCATAAAGACTATTTTTCTAATAGTTAAAAATTATGTATATTTTTAAATATAAAACCTAAACTGAAATGTATATTTAATTAAACGTCAATGTGAGACTAGCCCACTTAATAGAGGTTTTTCTTTTAGATTGAAGGTCTTGCGTTTTAATCCGGACGTTGATGAATTTTATTAACTTGGTCATAGTAACTTCTAGCAACTAAACACCCGTTATAAAAATCAAGATTTTAAACAATATAATTGCACACTGCGCAACGCGCGGGAATTCGTCTACTATACTTATAAAGGAAGCATTTTTCCTTTCACCACATTCATTTGAAACTCTCATGACTTTTCAATTTCTTTCTAATAATGATCATAAGTTGGTTAATAAGGTTAAATAAATATCAAACCTAAAGTGTAATCATATATAAACTAAATTTCAATATTAAAAGAATATATTTACTTCTACTTACAAAGTTATATTTTTAACTTTTAACATATTATACTTAACCTATTAGTTTTAATATGATGTTGTATGTAAACCTTTATCATTTTAAAGCTGCAACTTTTGAACAATTTGTATAAAATACTTAAATTGTTAATTTAAATATAACATTATAAGTCAACTTAAATAACCCAAAGAATATTTTGTAAATAGTTAAAAATGATAAATTGTAGTGTCTTTCTACTAATGATTATAAGTTTGTTAATAAGGTTAAATAAATATCAAACATAAAGCGTAATCATAAATAAACTAAATTTTAATATTAAAATAATATCTTTACTTCTACTTATAAAGTTATGACTTTAACTTTTAACATATTATACTTAAT